TTGCCAGTAAACTCTACAATAGGGTTTAGGGTTTAGGGGACTCTACAAGAGAATCCGATGTACATTCCTTAGACGCCTGGAGCTACAAGTCAGGCACTTAGATCACAAACTGCATCTAACATCACTGAAACTAATCCAGCTCTTTGTGGCGAACCTGTGCCTGAGACTTCGCGGATGTAGGAGCTATCAGGAGATGACATGGGTGCCCTTTAACGGTTATATGGGGATCATTACCCAGAAATATCACAACCCTAACTTGGGGACTCCCGAAGAGAACCCCACAATGACGGGAAATCGGCGGCAGCACTGGGAAACACAGCGACAAACAAACCTTTACCTGAACCCTAAAGACTTATCCCTACACCCTCTAAAGCCTAATCCCTATGTGATCCTTACGTTGCTCACATGTGCCTCTACTGGGGCTCGGGAATCCCATGTTCGAGCCTAGGCCCTAAACCTTGAACCCCACACCTGAAACATTATAGCCTAAGCCCTAATCCCTGAGGCCTTGCACACTGTAAGCACAAAGCCTACAGTCTCAACCCTAAATCTTAAACCCTCAATTTTCAACCCTTCAACGGCACAAAGCCGTCAAATGCTAAACCTTCAACCCTGGACTTCAAACCCGGAACCTTAAGCCTCACACACCTTACGCTACCCGCTTCGCAAGGGAACCGAACCTGGTGGCCCGGAGCGGAGAGGCGGTGTAGTTGGCCCAGTCACCTCAGGGTTTATCGGGTCTAAAGTTTAGGGTGGGGGTTTTGGGTTCAAAGTTCAGAATTTAGAGTTTGGGGTCCAAGGTTTATGGTGTAGCGTTCCAGGTTTAGAGCTCAAGGGCTGAAGGTTTAAGGGTTTGGGGTTTGGAGGCTTTGGGATTTTTACGGCAAGTTCCTGGTTGCAAGTTTTGCGTTCGGAGGGTTTTGGCCTACATGCTCGTAGTTGTTGGTAGGACATGAAAAAGGGTTTACGGCCTAGGGTTATTAGTATGGAATGAAGGAGCGGAGCAGGACATGGAAGCTTTTGGGGATTATAAGAAGGCTATTGTAAGGATCCATTTCCTCCATTTCTTATTGCCCACCAGCAAACCCAGAACATCAGGGTTTAAGGTTCAAGGCTCAGGCTTTAAGGTTTAGGGCTGGAAAATCCAATGGAAAAGAACATGGGAAACGAAATGGACGCGGGGCTTAGGGTCTTGAATCATTCCCAAATGCATTCTATATAACCTCCCCCAGAGACATGTACCTGTTGGGGTTCTCAATTTGTTTGGGGCTGCGGGATTTCTAGCTGCATCCCCCGGGAAGCTCATTATCGGCTCCTTCTTCTGGGTAGGTCTGAACATGGCTTAGGGTTGAAGATTTAAGGCATTGCGCCCCAAGTTTGTCTTTTCAGTCAAGATTATGGATGAAAACTCCTTGTATAATCACGGTGTAGGTCACCTCGATGTATCTGTTTAAGCCCCTAGGGTACCCAGCTCCCAGCTCAAGGCGAACGTGCTGCCAGCCGGTAAAGTGTCAACATCCACAGATTCAACAACTGGAATTTTAGGATCTATGACTCCGAAGCTGAAATTTATTGAAATGATGTTTTGGGATGCTTTTGCTAACTGTAAAGATGTGTAAGGTCAAGTCTTGCGGAAGTTGTCGAGAGGTTGGCAGGCACCAGTCCTGGGTATCCCAGTACATTTTCCATCTAAATGTGTCGCACGTTATTACCACTACTATTATCATGATTATTGATAGCCCGAAAATTACAACCATTACTGATATTTCTGCTACTAGCACTGCCCTTCTTATTTCTTACCATAACTACTAAATTATCCTCCCTCAAAACATGCCCAGCCTGGCCCAAGAACTCTAAATACCCAAGCAGGACAACAAAAAGGGACTCAGAGATGAGCCTAACACCCTAGACCCTAAACCCTAATCCCTAAACCCGAAACCCCCTTCATGGATACCCCCTGAGCCACTCTTACAAATAGTCAGGGTTTACCTACTGGTGCTTAAGGGGGAGTGGGGGAGTCAATATAGGTACCATTATAGGGTTTAGGGCTTAGGCTCTGGTGTTGCGTGGATGGGGTGTGGCGGTGCATGAGATGATTTAACACAGGGGGCAGGCGGTGATGCACCACCCCCAAATGACGCAAGCTGCTGTGCAGTTCCCAAACAACATACTGAAGATCTACTATTTGTGATGAACCATGTGACGTTCGCTGAAAACCTACGGCTTGTTGCCGCGCAGTCTCTTGTTGGGCCTTTGTCAGAATGTCGATATGACGACCATTCACCACGATTTGCACAAGTCTCGGCAAGAAGACCGCATGCGGGGGCCGCGAACGCTCAACACTGGAACCACACCTGTGGCCCATGTTCATGTTTCTCGAGAAGTCTTGGCTCCTGCGACAGACTGTTGGGCAAGAATGGCGTCAAGAAAAATGATTCAAAAAAAAATGCGAAACAATTTTTGTAAGTAACTCGCAAATCCCGCACGCATCGCACATGTGTTTGCGCGCATGCATGCGCGGGCAGACATATGTGTGTGTGCAAACACATACATGTCCACACGGAGGCAACATGTTTGTGGGCAAATACAAACACACTTTGTCTGCGCACGCACACGTGGCGAATGCGCTATCCGCGTGCACACATGTGTGTGTACGCAGACACATATGTGTCCACATGCAGGCAACATGTGTGTGTGCACATACAAACACATTCCGTGTACACCCATAGGCGCCGACACAGACATGTGCGCATGCACAAACATGCACGTGCCCGCGCACAGAACAGACCAGCGTGTACATTTGCACATACACCTGTGCATGTTCGCAAAAGGGCATGTGCATGCACACACAGAAATGTGTATGCGCACACGAGAATGTGTATGTGCACACCTTTATGTGCACAGGCACACCACGTGGCGTGCACACAACAAATTGCTCATGCAGACATACACGAGTGTGCGCACACACAGCAAACTGTCCGTGCGTACAAACACGTGTGAATGCGCACGCGTTCACATGGCATTCGCACGCATACATGTGTATGCACATTCATGCACGAACATGCCAGAACATACACGTCTATGCGCACAAAGGTATGCGTGAGAAAGGCAGAGCTGGGAGGACAATCGTGGCGGAACTTGGCGGAACATATCACGTTGGGGGCGCCGACAGAAGTAGCAGGAGCTGGCGGCACCAATTGAAGGTGCAAAACCAACAGTTTCGGAGCCGAAAAAAATGGTGGGGGCAGTACCAAAGGCGAGGTCCACACCCTTGGAGAGCCGACTGGCACGGAACAGTTGACATGTTTGGCGGGGTCATGTGGACTGATTTTATTGGCGTGGCCGACAATCTTGCCGATACAACTGGCGGGGCCGACAGAAATGGCACGAGTTCTGATGGAATTGGCAAGACCAATTTTGGCGGAGCAAATTGAGATGACAAGGCTCACAGTTTTTCGCGAGCTGGTTTTGGCGGCGTAGCAAGTAGGCTTGAGCGAGTGGATACAACTGGCGGTCCCGACGGTGTCAAGGGGCCGAGGGTGATGGCGTGCCCGACAATCTTGGCAGAATAAAAAATTAGAAGAGGGGGCGCCGACTGATGGGGCCGACATTCCTGGCAGAGCCGATGGAAATCGGCAGAACCGTTACAACACGCGGAAGCCTGCAGACAATCTTGGCGGAGCCACGAGCCCGCGGAGCCGACAGAAATGGCAAGGTCGACCGTCTTGGCAGAGCCGATCCAAAAGGGAGAGGCGACAATCATGATGGAAGCCTGCAGCCCCGGTGGAGCTGGTGAATTGAATTCGTGGAGCCGACCATCTTGGCGGAGCCGATTGAAGTGACAGCCCAGGTGGAGCGATCGACATGGCGGAGCCGGCCACACAGGCTAGGCAGATCCAAGCGCTGGCGGAGCCAATAGAAATGGCCGAGCCGACAGTTATGGCGGAGCCGATTGAGTTGGCGGAGCCACTTGCTTCGGCGGGGCTAACCACAGCTTCTGACTTGACTAGCTCTGCTAGGCTTGGCTTTCAAAACAAAGTCGCGAAAATGAAATCTCAGATTTTGACATGTCAAGCTTAGCGGCGAAAACTCAGCATAGACAGAGAGGTCAGCGAACATTTCAGCTTTTCTAGCTTAACTCAAAAAGCTAGATGAAGCAGAGCAGCTGGAAACCGTGGCTTTCATATTGATATTGCGAGAACTTTCCAGCTCATGCAGCTAGAAAAGCTAGAAAAACACGGTGTCATGCTCTTGTAGATTTGTATTCTAGTTCTTCTAGCCAAGCCCAAAACCATGGTTTCCAAGTCTAGCTCTCTTAATTTTTTTTGTCGAACAGCAAAGCCAGAACACGCATTTCGTTGGTTTTGGAAAAGTTAGATCACTGAGGGAGAGAACAACATGTACAGGTCCCCTAGATGGTGGTGGGATGGATTTGGCGGGGGTGGGCGCAGGGGGGAATGTTGCAGGGGGAGGCCCTAAACCCAAACCCCCTCAAACCACGCGCCAGACAGAAGAGAAGCAGCCAACATACCCTAAACCCTAATGTGAGTACTAAAAGGGGATCCCTAACTCTGCCTGCAGTTGGAGGAAATGGCCCACCTTAGGCCTTATAACTAATAGAGCACCCGAACCCTGCTCAGTACCCATAAAGCTTTTCTGAGGCTTAGGGTTTAGGGCTTAGGGTGATAAACCCTAACCTAAACAGAAAAAGCGGCAACTGTGGGTAATTAGGCGAAGCCTCTGACGGGGCAAGCAAGTCAAAGCCGCGTATCACCCAGAGTCTTTTCTAGCTGATATGGGGAATCTCCCAGGAAAACGGAACCAGTAGGAGTCTCATGGTACAATGTAGAGTTTGTTACGAGCAGGTGGATACACGTCTCCAATGCATGATGGTCACAAACTTCGATGTCATAGTTTGCCCTCGCTTTTCGTAGCATACCTCAACCCTACACCCTAAATATCACTGAACCCTAGATCTACCTCGGTGATGCCCCAGGCACCCCAGGCAGAGCCCGTGAGACCATCCTGGAAGAACATGCCTTAGCAAGGCGAGCAAATTTGGGAAGCAGGGCTGGAGGTTTGGGGGAGTGCAGGTTTAGGGCTGAAAATGAGTTCAAGAGGTTGGGTTTCGGAGGGATCAGGGTTAGGATAAAGGGCTTTTGGGTTAAGAGTTTAGGGTGCAGAGGGAATATCAGGTCAAGAAGATTGAAATTGGGTTGCGGCGATCTGTTCTTCTGCCATCAGATGAGAAGGATGGGAATAAGGCTGAAGTACGGGTATAGTGTTGGTGATGCTGGAGGTTTTGGTCATATTTGTTCTGCAGGAGTTCATGGGCTTCAAACCCTAAATCCTAAACCCCTAAACCCTATTCAAAAAGGCTTTCCGGCATGTCATGAAAGACCCAGGGGAAGCAGAGATCATAGAGACCTTGTCAGCTTTTGCAAGGACTTGAAGGGATGCGGGGTTCATATGAAGGTCAATACCAGAAAAATCTGAGGGGTCCTGATGAAGCGCATGTACTTTTACAGGGGGTGTCCCTTTTGAATGTTTACAACGTACCGGGAGAGGGCCCGCCTTTTTATGGAAAGTCGCATGTGAGAGGTTTTGCCAGTGTCAATTCTTCTCGTTGACCATGTGAAGACAACTTCCGCTGATGAGCTGGATATGGCAGATATGGTGGTGTCGGCGAGGGGAGCCCGTAAGTACAGGATCCACACTGGCTAGATGATAATACCGATGTTAAGCAAATGTTGGGACTATTTCGATATTAACCACTATCTGGGGCGAGGTCGAGAGAGGTCATCACAACTTGCCTAGTCCGTAACCTGACGATTTCAAAGATGGAAGTTCTGGAACATCTATGCGACTTTGCGAACGTGAGCCGTTACTCATTCTCAGCTGTTAAATGCTGCAGGAATTCAACACCCCATTCCCAACCAAGCATGAATAAGGAGCTCAAGCTATTGATACTGCAGCTGGTTCATTGCTGCCATTCGACTTGTTTTCTCAGCACTGGCATTAACACAACAGCCGTCTTCGGAGATTCAACACCCACTGCCAAAACGATCTAATATAGGGGCCTAAGTAATTATCAATATTCTGGTTCCATATTCCTTACATAATTATGGTCTATGGTACCTCAGATGGACCTCAAAATAATTATGTAGGCCCGTACAGTAAGAAAACCTCGGCCTTGAAGCAAGCTCACAAGCATCTCATGTGCGCAGGTTCCTTGGTTGAAGGAATTGATTCCAAGAGTCCAGCCTTCCGGAAGCGAATGTTTAACGGGTTTCAGTTCTTTCTCTAAAGGCGGCTCGAAGTACGTGAACCCTATAGTAAACATTTCACACATTCATCCACGTCTGAAACATGTGTCTAGCCGCCGATGATGGCCATCATCGCCAGCCTTCCGTTGTTGATCTCCGCGTTCAAGCTCTTGGCTTTCTTCTCAGCATCCTGTTTTCGCTACTCTCCATGTCACATGAGTTCGGCTACACATCATCTAATTCTTCCGATTTCCAATTATGAACACGAAGCCAAACCCCCACTACATCCACTGCACAAGACGCGATCCCATCAGCCCACACCTTAACCAGTCATGGTTTCCATCTGTCTCTACCTTGTGAAGCCCCCAAACCTTCAACATCCCCAAGGTCCTCGATCTTCTTGCCGAAAGGGAGGCCAAACGCACCGTAGCCTCAGAAGCGATGCTCAGTTTGGAACGAGCTTGACGTTTCTCAACATGTGGTGGCTCCCGAGAATTAGGGATGTGCCTGTGTGTAAGTCCCTATGAGAGGATTATCACAACAGCTTGGACTACCTGAAAGAGAAGCTTATGCCTAAACACCTGTGTGGGCCCGAGATGCAAAATATGGTCGTTCCGACTTGCTCTCGCATCTGTGGGTAGCTGAGCAACTAGGCGGTTTTCCCAACTAACCTGAAGCTGCTCTCAAACTCTCCCAATACAGGCACCTAGCAGATTTCTTTGATTTGGGGATAAGACAACTTCTCTTACTACAGGGGCCTAAATAACTACCAATACAATTTTGAGGTCCACTTGAGGTACCATACAGATAAGGAATATGGAACCATGACATTGGTAATTATTTAGGCCTCTATATTACATGAATTTCGGACTCAAGATGTGCGGTCGACTTTGGGGAGGATCTACAAGAAGGGTTCTCTAATTTGGGGTTTACGAAGAGGCCTTGATTTGAGAAATGCCATCTGCAGGAAATGTACACCGCGGAGAGCAATGAAAGACAGAGGGCGGCGTCACAAGACGACCTTAGCCTTAAACCCGGACCCGATACCCCACACATGCGCAATACTCTAAACTCCTAGTATCCCCCTTAATAACCCCCTATATGACCCCCTTTTAAGGAGTTTAGACTATATCTCAGATGAAGGCGAACAAACCCAAATCGCAGTCTTCCTAAACCGCGAATCCCAAACTCTAGACCCACTTTGGGGTTCTACAACGCTGTGTAGGAATGCTTAATTAGTCCTACGTAGGGATATCTGGGAACATAGGGTTTAGGGTCTAGGGTTTAACTTTGGGAGATTCACAACCTCAGTCCGGAAGCCTCAACCAAGCGCTTGCACAAACAAAAGAAACTCTTCCCTCCATCCACGTGTCTAACCCAACTTTCAAGGTCATGGGGACTTGGTAAGTTGGTTACTTACTATAGTGGGAATAACTGGGGTTATTCTAGGTCTTACGGGGCTTATTCACTGACTGTCTAAGTCCCCCTGACAGTGCCATGAAACCCTTTGCTGGAGCTCAGCTAGGACATGGTCCGCTTACACCGCAGATACTACGGACTCTAAGAAAGGGGTGGGGTCCATGCATGGCCCTGAGTACCTCGAATAATTTGAAAAAATTATGGCTTTCTAGCATACCACCTTCATACAGAATTGTCGGCATCAATTGTAATTGCCGACTGTAACTGGGTTGGCCCCTAAAACCCTTTGAAAAATATTAATATATAGGGTCCCTTATTAAAGCCATTAAGGAAAATACTAAATATCCCAGAGGCCTACCCAGGTAACTGCAACCCAGGCTCCATAGTCGCCCAGCACGTCCGTCTGCACGTTCTGGAGGTTCGTCACCCTTTGCTGTGCAGCAACTGTAAGATGGCAATCTCCACTCCTTGCTTTCAAACCTTTACCTGCCCTAGGTTCTTAGAACCTTGGCAAGATGCTAGCTCGGTCTTGGGACCATGGTAGGCAAGAACCTTAAGCGCTTTCAGGACTTGGCGAAAAAAGATCATAAACGAGGGAGATCACAAGCGTTCCTAGCATTCCCTCTCAGCACGGCATGTGCAACGTTCAGGTTTGAGCAGAAGGAACCCGGGTTCACAGTTTCGGGATTCAGGATTTACTGGCTTCAGTGTTTCAAGCTTCAACTGTGGCATGTAGGGTCCCCTGCTCCCAGAAGAAGAAAGGATCTTACACCCTAAACCCAATCCCAAGCACAAGCCACAAAGCATCGAGTGTCTCAGGCTTCACCTGCGAAACCAGCCTCCGCATCTTGAGCCCTGTAAGCACCCCAGTAAACTGGATCCCAAAGCTCTGCGGGTTTGCATGGAGGGTGCAAATTCTTCAAACACTTGACAAAAAAGTCTGCATGCATTATTGGGACATCTGAAAAAGACTTGTCTTTCTGATGCCTTTCATGCTTAAGAATCCTTGGAACGACCCAACAAGCGCCTACCGCTTCGAGAGCTGCATCCAAGCAGCTCGATGATTCCTACCTGAATAGGTTTAGGGTTTAGAGGTTTAGGGTTTCGGGAGCATGCTTCTTGGGTTCTTGAGGATACTGCAACTGAAAGGAGAATAGGTTTACATCTGTATCTAGTTAAATACCTCTTACTCTACGTTGGGACTATCGTCTCTCTACAGAACATACAACTTACCTGGCAGCATTTCAAGCATGTTCGGCAAGTTGAGTCTACAACAAAACTTCCACACGGTCCTCGTTTCAAACCAGGCACCCGATTTGTTAAAAAAGCTAGCCTTACCCCTAACCACAGCTTAGTTGGTTTGCTGATCTCTTCCCAGAGAGCCCAATACCCCTTAATAGAAGAATATACCCTAAATGGTACTAGGGTCCCTAATATGATTTGGGCTATATTCCTTAATGAAAGGATATTCGGCTCCCTGGGTTGCTCCATCTCAAACATGGCTTCAGTTAGATGTCTCCAAGTTCAGGTCCCTTGCAGAAGAGCTTACACCGTTTTCAACTCTGCGGTCATTCTGAACAAAGAGCAATTTCAAATTGCACGCCTATGCGGAGAAATTACATACTACCCAATTGGTAACATTTCTTGGCCTCTTACTTGGGTTTATTACGTTTACCTTCCTAATGCAAGTCTGAAATATTCACATTCGCATGGACAATGATTTTGGTGGTATCATAGAGAAAGACACAAGAAAGATCGTACGGACAGGCTCGGGAATAACATCCGCCAATGCAGAAGCTGTTTTAGTAACAATCACGATAGCCCAAGGGATCCAGCACGACAGAGAATTTCCCTCATCGTGGTCAGGTTTTTGGAATTCCCCCTCAGCTTTTGGGGAGAGGACAAACCCCTGAGCTTGGGTCCTGTGCTTAAACGGCCCACATCTCATCACCCTGATTGACAAGATACCCCTCAACAGTCACATCATGCTGGCCCTTGAACCAGAACCCATCTGCTATGCTGACCCCGACAAAATCTCAGAATTCCGAGAGAGTCCAGGGGATCCGATAAGGGATGTGGGGGATCATCAGGTGATTCTGAGCGTCCCTATGCAATTGTCCTAAAAATATATTGGGATCATTAGGGGGTTCTGATCATGGGTTCCCCTATTATACCCCCCCCTCTATACCCCCCCCCCCAGCTTCCCCCTCTAATTAAGGGTATGGGATAAGGGGAAAACCTGGGGGAGGGGGTAGTAGGGAAACCCATGATCTGAGGGTCCCTATGAAGGACTCTTCTCAGGGAGCCCAATACCCCTTAATTAAGGAATATAGCTAAATTCATATTAAGAATCCTAATACCATTTAATGTATATTCCTTATCTAAGGCGTATTGGGCTCACTGGGTACAAACCTTAAACCCCCCTATAATCCCTATATAACCCCTACAGAATCCCTAGATATTCCTTGGTATATTCCTTAATTAAAGGGGTATTGGGCTCTCTAGGTCTTGAAGCCCAAGCAGCGAAGGTGATGATCTGGAGCCATCCTGGCAATGAGTCCAGGCTGGGCTTGGATTCGGCCACCCTTTTTGGGGGGGCTAGGGTTGGGGATTAGGGTCTAGGGTTTAAGGATTAAGGTTTAGAGCTTCAGGGGTTTAGCGGGTTTGGGGTTTAGGACTTTAGGGGGTTTGGGGGTTTAGGGCACTGCTGGCGTTGTGGCCTTCTAGTAAGCTATCAACATGCAGTGTGTCTAGTATCAACTGACGCACAGTACATAAGGCTTGTATCTTTATGGCTAATAACAACTGAAGGCTTCAGTAAGCCTACTCGGAATCAGGAGCTTCCCTCTCGAGAGGGAGACAGAATGTGAATGACTCAAGATTTCACTTGCTCGGTCAGGGGGTGACTTAGGTGTTCCAGAAAAAAGAACTTCCATCAAAGTATTGATTGGAACAGGGACGACACTCGTGATTATGGCAGTCCGCTTGTTGCGCGCGGTATGTTTGTGGTGACAATGCAGTGACCCCGCGGCTGGCACATACCCTGACTACAACGTGGGCGAGTCCATATTGCTGTAAGCTGTAAACTGCACCTCGGTAGAGCGCCGTTCAAACTGCTGACCAAGTCCACGAATCCCAAGCGAGGATACTTCGCTTCAAAGCTACCTCTACTGATGTTGCACAAAGCCCGCCCCAACTCAGAATCCCAAACCCTCAACGTGTTCAGAGCTTGGTCGCAAGGATTCACAATGTGAATCACAGTATCACAAAGGCAACACCACACGCTAAACACACCCTGCTTCGGCTTTGCGACAGGTAACCAAAGAGTACTAGCAAGCTTCGTAGCCTGAAAACCCTGAGCCCACAACTCTGAACCCTCGACCCCAACACCGTCCTAAACCCTGAATCCCAATGGCTAAATATAGTCGTTCCCATTTGCTTTTCCAATATTCCCATGTAACCTCCTATATAACCCCAATATCCCTAAGCAAGCTGGCCTGCCAGAGGAACGGCCGCTGCACCCTTCAGTCCATTCGGGATGTCCTGGGCATGCAACCGGCTCAATACTCAGGGCCAGGGGTCATAGGTTTTTTTGAAGCGCCCCGTGTATCCTGCATATCCGGCTTTGGGGCTTACGGTTTTGAAGGCTTGTGACGTAGGATCTTTGGGTCGAAGGTTGATGGTTGCGGCGTAGGGCTTGGGATTTGGGATATTTTGAAGGCTCTATGCATTCACATCGCCTTTTTCTCAGACTCCGTCAGTGAGTAGGTGACCAGTATACAGCATTAATGCCCTCATTCACAAACCAACTATCAAGCATTCTTGCTTATAGTCACGCGGGCACTCAGAACAAGACGGCAGAAATGGTACACGGTAGTTTCCCAAAATAGGGGGACCCCAATGTAGACCCCTAAATACTATATTCCTTATTATTGGGACCCCCAAAAATGGTACCCCTAATTCTGGGAAACCCCCACACTGGCTATCATCAGTATACATGCGCGCAAAAACAAACACAAATGACACAGCATGGCTAGCATCTATCCCTGGGTCCTCATTCGCTCCCTACGGGTCCAAGGACCCAAATAATAGGGTCCCTTTAGAGGGGGTAGAGGGAGATACATGGGTATATATGGGGACTATATAGGGGTATATAGGACCCAGATAATGGGGTTTTGAGGCACAACTACGAGAACATAAATGGTATTTGGGACCTAAACCCCTAATATTTGGGTCCTTGGACCCTCAGGGGCAATGACCCGCTAACATCCCGAAGTCACGGATTGACCCACTGCAGTTCTCTGGCAAGGATAATATGATGCAAAGGAGGGAAATAATGAAGGTTCAACGAGCCGACGGGCCTTCCCTGCGCGGTTCGAGGCTCAATTTAACGAGGAGACAACACAGCCCTTCTCTCCATGTTTGTCGTAAGAATCCTTGCATTCAGCAGCTTTCCAGTCCCAATTGCACAGATTGTCAGTGGGACTGCGTACATATCCCTAACCCGTAAACCCTCAACCCCTGAACCCCAAACCCTGAACCCTAAACCCAAAAACCTCGTCCTCAAAACCTTTTCAACCCTGGATCCCCGTAAAAGGGACCTTCCAAACCCTTGTTGGATGGATCCAAGGGGCAGTGAAGGCCAAGTTCTGAGAAGGAGCGCACAAGCCTGTCGGACCAGGGACTTGCTGGTGTTGACAGTCAAGGGTTTAGGGGGTTCGGGTGCTTACGGTCTAGGGGTTTGGGGTTCGGGGTTTAGGTAGTGGGCTAGGGAGTTGTATAAACCACCTCCCCGTAATCCTATACACGTAAGCATGTGGAGCATAGATATTACATACATGCAGATACACATATATCCGTATGCATGTAGGTATAAACAAGGTGTATACAAACACATGCATGTGTCTAATGCATGCATGAATCTATATGATCTTGACTAATTATTTTCATCCCCCTCGCCCACTACCCTCCAGCGCCAGGAAGGAAACGAGGTCTAGGGATTCAGAAAACTTGCCGGCCCGTGGGAGGCTGAAGCTAAATAAAACACGGCCTTTCTCAAAACACAACCTGTTAAATCATGCTCCATCATCCCTAAACCCCTTCCGTAGCATCCCGAAGGGCCCCTCATACTCAGAAATTATCGGAAAGGGTTTAGTGCCATTTTCTAAAGCCTCGGGGGTTTCAACAGCCAGAGATTCGGGTGTTGGCGTATACTCATTTGTGTAGGATCCGGGACTTGAGCATTATCACTACTGTCCGAGGGGTGTGGTCCTTCTAGGTTCCCCAGTGTAAAGATGATCATACTTTTGACAGGCTACCAACTGGCTTCTGCAGCAACTGTCTGCATTGGCAAGCCCTAATGAATGCCATGACGTGTCAGCACTCACAACCACACGATTTTGAAAAGTCCCCGACGCAAAGAATGACCTCTATCCCTAAACCCTAAAAAAAACAGTATGTAGGGGGGACACTTTTTCTGGGGAGCAGTATTGCGTAAACATCCCTGAGCCCCTGCTCTGTTTGCCTGGGAAGCGGAAGTACTCCGGGACTATGTAGCCAATGCAAGCCAGCATGGCAACCTTAGCAGAGAGATGGGGGCTTTTCTGGATTGGGGGCACATTTGGGGGCTCCTACAACTGAATAAGGATTATGGTATTTGGGGGACTATAGAGCAAACGCGTATTTTTGAACAAGTCCAAAAAAGTTGAAGTGGTTTCAGGGTTTAGAGGTTTGGAGTTTAAGGATGAAGCTTGGGGTTTAGGATACACAAGATACATGTGTTAACGTTCCTGCTCGGGGCTTAGGTGCTGTGGGATAAGCCTTGTGGATTTAACACCTAGGGTCTTCAAATTTTCGACTTTTTGGACTCTGGACCAAGGAATATTTACAGGATTACCCAAACAATTGAAGGTTCACTCACTCCTTCCCACGCAGCACCAGAGGAGAGGGGTGGTGCACCTCTTGACACACGTCGTCTGCGCTGTCGGGTCCTCGAAAATACCAAGTTCCTAATCTGCTCACACATGCTTGTCGAAAACGCAATGCTGTGCACCTCATTCTAACTCTCTACGGACCAGCACTTTGTCGGGTTCATCAGATCGGCAAATGGCTGTTGGGGAGGGAATTCCTTGTTCATTGCGGACCTGTACTTAGCTTATGCGCAGGCCATCCGCGGGTTACCTTGAGAGCCCTGCTCCCCTTAGCCCACATCCTCCTGTGATGTCATGAGGTCTCCGAAGCCAAAGTCTAGCCTCATCCCTATGAACCTTAACATCTTCCAACCGAATGCCATCTGCCCTGGAAATCCACACGCTGGGATATAACATGCTTCTTCTTACTCATGGCTGGACTCAAGTTATCCTACCCATGTGGTGTGTGACGCCACTATGCTCGGGCTTAAGAACTGAAGCATCAAAGTAGGTAGGCCGGAAATCTATACCAGTTAGATTGTACGCAAGTGGGGGTTGGGGTACCCTTTTTAAGGGTCACCTTCGTATGGACCATCGTATTTTAAGATCCATGTTGGAATCCCCCTATTTAGGGAAATTACCATACTTCATACAACGGTACTCACAAATCGTGGCCGCCTCCATGCGTTGATACTCCCTGGAAATCCTAGCTAAACTCACTGAGCCCGTAGTGCATACTTCTAAAAATACGTCAAGAAGGATGGGAAAGAGCAAAGCAACGCTTTTCTACGCTGAATACGTCCTGACCAGTCACGCTACGGAGCCACACTGTACATGCACATGAACCCTCTGCAATTGCACATCCAGTCGGATGGTTTCACGGCTGATGCAGACCCACTGGCTGCTATCAGGGCTGAGTCACCTGAGCACCTGCTGCTCGTAAGGTTGCGGCATCTCCAACAAACCACACATTATAGCATGTAGAAGGTCTCGCGAAACTGCGCCCTTCGTGAGCCCATCTGCAACCATGGATCTCGTGTCTGTCCAAAACATCGCCTTCAACCGGCCGCGGGTGAGCAAAGATCTGAGCCACATCACATGTAACAGTAGTGAAGGTTCCGCAGGAACCTTGACGTTGGGGGCAACAACAGCCGCGCTCACTGACTTGGCGTCAACTGCAAGAGCCAGGCCTACTGCACAGGGAGTGGTTCCTTCGATCAAACCCTTAGCCTCTGATGGAGTGACTACACCATGTTGCAATTCATGTAGCACGATAGACTGCAATAGGCCGGAATCAACTGCATCAGTTGCAGCAAACAACTCGCTGCTGAAGGTGGACCTGGTGACGTGCCTTTGGGCCTTGCTCACGTAATCCAGCACATGGCAGGGAGTCTCTGCCTTGCCTGCAATCATGTCATCCAGACTAACCCTCACGCTGACCAGGCCACGCACTGACAGTCCGTCGGTGGCCCGTGCTTTGTAAGAGCTGTCTGAGATTTGCAATAGCACGGTGGGATACTTCATCACTGGATACGTGATTCCTTTTGGGTTCGACTGAAGCCAACGCAACAACACGTTCAAACGCTTGACATGGATGATCTTAGCTTGGTGGCTTTCCCGCTGGAGGGCCGACACGAACACCGCCACGTCTGGGCGAGTCAACAACGCATATGCAATGGTCATCAGAAGACTCAAGAAATGGCGTCGGGCCTCCTCAGAGAGCAGTTTCTCTGAGGAACCCACTGTCGCAGGAAGCATGATCGGCTTACATGCTGCTAAGAACTTCATTTGGTCCATTGTGACGCTGCCATCTGGGTGCTGAACATGTCTCACCCCACAGAACACGGACTCTTTCCAGGATATCTCCATTTTCCCAAAAGTGCGGGAGAGAGGCGTTCTCCAGTAGTCAACACGGTCGCCAATCTTGTACTCAAGTTGTGCCCCTGAGGGCTGCGTCTGAGTGCGAAGGGCTCGGCGCATTCGCTCTTTGGCAGTACCCTCGGCTATGGCTTGCACGGCTACTTCTCTTAACCGGTGGGTGTGCCGGGAAATGTTGTCAGGCACACCGTCATGCATGATTGCTCCATCGGCAGGAAGAATGGCAGGCATGCGGCCAAGCACAGCGGTGAAGGGGGAGCTGCCGTTGACCATGGTCAATGCGTTTAATGAGTATGTGATCTCACTGCACATGCGGCTAAAGGGCACCTGCAGGCCTTCTTCATCGAGCTGGGCTGACAGTTTGCGCAGTGCATCCCTCATTACCGCAATCTTGCGATCACATATCCGGATGTGCTGCCGTGGTGCTGCGGTTCTCTTGCAGATGCCGCGAAGCTGGAAATAGGTGGTACTCTCTTCGTCGTCCAAGGCAGTCTCGCCATCAAATAGTAGCACCTGTGGTGGCCCGAATGTCATGACCCATGTCTCATCAGGCTGTGAGGATGGCAGGCGTGCTCTTATTTTCGATCACTCGAGAGGATGTCCAACGGACTCCCCTGTCCACTAGGACTAATATGACCTGCTGCGTACCTTTGTGGCGATAGAACATGAGATCACCTTCCACCTCGATGTTGAAACCTATCACCATTCGGCTGGTGGCCTTGACATCAGGGCTTGGACGTGCCCATAGGCGACATACGCGACAGGTCTCAACGATAGAGGGCACTAACTCCAGCACCTCTTTGGGGATGCCAACGGCATTCAGCAGACGCTGCATCTTGTCTGTTGATGGGTGAAACCATCTGAGATGCAGCTTGCGCAGGATGCGTCGCCTGCCTGCTTCATCTGACATCCTGAGGCCGCGCATGGAAGCTTGTACGTCGAATGAAGTCCAGTCAGATGGAACAGGAGTCTGAGTCTCTGATTCACCCCATGCGCGTCGCACACGTGGTACTAGATCTGCGCCTCGACCTGCCTGAGGACCTGAGTCTGGGTTGGATGCAGTGGCCTCCTCTTGCTGATCCACTGGCATGGGATCTCGGGCACCGCGAGGACGCTCATCAGGAGGCACCGGAGTAGGTGGCACGGCTGCTTCAGCTTTGAGCTCATCTTCGATTCCCAAATCGGAACCTCTAAGGGATGAGGTTGGTTCGGCTTTAGCGGGCACTCGGCCATATGGCCTCTTCGTCTTGTGCCTAGGTGCAGTCAAGGCGTGTCGGCAGTCAGGGCCGTACGTGTGGCGGCCGTCAGACCTAGGCTTGTGTGCGACACAACCTGGACAGGAGAAGTCATCTGGAGTGACATCGGGATGGAGGCATTCACCACGCACTCTGGTGTGTACTTGCGCAGCCTCCATTGACATGCCTTGCACCGCCGCCATGGCTCGCTCTGGGCAACTTCATCTGTGTCACCAGAGCCCACTGCGACCGAGGGCATGTTCATGGGAGGAAGGAGAGATGCCATGAAGGATGGATCTGCTTTGTGGAGCAGCACCACCTGCCTTGCTATCCCGGCAGCTAGACGCTGACACATCTCGTAGCTCCACCTTTGGGTTGCTCGGACGTTGCCGCCCAGCAAAGAAGCATGCTCGTGATCCCCAGGACAGCGGAGACCTTCGAACTTGGCAAGGATTGCGGTCTGCTGTTGCTGACTAATTCAGTTGGTTTCTTTACCAACTTCCCTTGGATTTGTTGATTCACCCGACACTGGTGAAACACAACGGCCAAGCAAGCAGGCATGGCCCGAACCTGGGGCCACGGAGACACTCGGTAGAGCTGCGAAGGGAATGGTTGCTCATTTACAAAGAACCTGCCTTCGCGCATTTGAAGCTCAGCCACCACTCCGCAGAATTCGGCAAGCTCGGCAGCTGTGACGTATGCGGCCTGCCAGGAGTCAGAACGCAGCACGCGGTTGCGGGACCCCAATGGTCCGAACACATCACAGCGGGGGCCCATCAGAACCACTAGAGGCTTAGCAAGGCGAATGTATGCTAACACTACCTTCTGAGTAGCTTTATCGCACAGATTTGTTCCTGTGGTGAGCTCAAAATTGTGACCGGTTCTGAGGCGCCGCTTGACGCAGAGGTATGATGTTAATCCCTCGCCTCCGCACAGTTCAACAAGCTCTACACCCCAGGAGGCATATTGCGGTTCATTTAAGAGGGACACCATCTCGTCGACATCCACCGCCAGAATTGCCTGCGGATGTAACTCGGGAGGCTCGTTGCATTCTGAATGCACAAAGGACCATGTTGTAGATGCGTTCAGCTGCGGTCTGATGAGCGATAGTAAGGCTTCCTCATCGCTTCCAGACTCAGCATCGGAGGCGGGTTCATGAAGGTAGGAAGTTCCAACTAAACCTAAGGAACTGAGGTCTTCGCCACAGTCATCGTGATGTTGCTCGACTGGTTTCATCTTCTGCTTACGAGAAGGCTGGGCATTAACAGTGCCTGAAGCTTTAAGCTCTTGGGCACGAAGTCGTTGCGCTATCTTCTGCTCTGTGGGGAAGCTTTGGGGTTCGGCTGACACACTGTACAGAGAATTCCCCGAAACACGGCATGCATTGCCCTGAGGGGCAGTGAAGGACGTTCCTGTCATCACGTCAGTTGGGCGAGTCTGAACAGGGAAGTCATTCTGGCTACTACAGAGATCACAGGTAGGAGTGATCTGCGGACGACCACATTGGTCACACACAAAACTTTGTTCACTGCACATCCGGTCGGATGGTTTCACGGACTCTGGGGGGCCTGAAGCGACAGCCCCAGGCTCCAGAGTGGCAACAATGGCGGTGAGCACCACCTGTTCGGCTGCGCCACGGCGCTTTGCACTGCCAGCATCTCGCTTGATGTCAAGGTCATAGACATGCTCAGTGGCAGGAGGACACTTGCAGGGGCTGGCTTGCAGATGCACCGTGCTGTAAATGCGATGCTTAACGGAGCTGGCAGGAACTTCGGCAGACAGCTTCACATTGAAGTGGCACCACCGGTGGTCGGTGGCCTTGAGGGCTTCGTGCTGCCACGCCAGTCTGCGAGTTGCGGCAAGAAAGATGGGGGTGTTAGCCCTATCGGCCCAACCCATGAGCACACGGAGGCGGTTGCACACATGATTAGTGCGTTCAGCACCCGCAAATTGACGAGAGTCTACCACATCAATCCAGAGGGCTCCGAATTCTTCACGTTTCATCCGGGAGAGGACATCGTCATATCCATCCCTCAAGACTTCAAGTGGTCGCAGACGCACGGTCTCCCAGCCATTGGCCATGAAGGCAGCAGCAGCAGTGGAATGGAACATGGTGATCAACAAGACCCGCTTGATGAAGTTGAATCCTTTGCTGCTGGCTGACCTGAGACCTGAGGGCCTGGCCTTACCTGGTGCGGAGGTGGCATTGCACTGCCTGCTGTGACATGAGACTTGTGCTTGCTCCCCGTCACCTGGCAACGAACGACCTTGCTGTGCCTGGGAGTCTGCTTGGGCTGCAAGGCTGTCGGGCTGAAGTGCTGAGACACACGTATGGGGCTCGGGGTGACTCATCGAGACCCCACTGCCTTGCGCTGGCTCCTCTGGCGCAACTGCATCCAAAATACCTTCTGCACCTGTTGGCTGAACTCCTTGACCTGCTGCACCTGAAGAAGCCTCCATCATCTGTTCTTGCAGAAAGGCTTTCAATGCTGGCTTGCGTGGGCCACGGACAACCCAGAGACTTGAGAAGAGATACCTCCTCGCGCAGTGCTTTCTGCCAGCCACCAGAGACATAGGCTGCCAAGACAAGGCGGTTTCCCCTGCTCCATGGCTGCGTTGCGTGCTTAACCTTAGGGTTAAGGAACACGGGCTTAGCAGGGGTTAGGGGAATGTTATGCCCTACGCACGCAGCTGCGCCTTGATGCCGCACCTCAATGGGGCCTAGAACGGTGGTTCCAATGGCCAATTCCTGCCAGAGACCTCCGCCATGGGCAGGAATCTGAATGGGAAGGAGGATGCTGGTTCCCTGGTTGTACTTGTCAGTGTGCAGCGGGGAAGTTACACTCCAATTGACCATCACGCTCGTGAACTTGGCACCGGGCACGCGGTCGGCTACGACCTAAACACAGGTCTCTGCTTGGTAATGGCGGTTATGCCAACCACTCCTCCATGAGTGTACATGCCAACACACTTTGCAATGCCCTTGTAAGACGGGAATCGTTGATGCATGGTGGCATTGGCTTCGCCCTCCCAGCGCTGCAACAACTTCACAAGCAAGGCGCTGGCGCTGTCAAAGTTGTAGTTCTTGAGCACATTTGCACACATCCCTTCTTCAACCTCAACCTGCTGGTCCTTGCCGTGGGCTAAGTGAGCCTGCTCAATGATGGATGCGGCAGAGAGGGCAGAGGATTCAGCAGCATTGCCAGCAACTTCACAAGGTTGTGGACATGCGGCGGCTGGCAGTTTCGGCTGATCATCAGCGAAGAGATGGTGAGAGGCGGTTGCCTGTGTGCTCCTGCTGAAAGGAAGGAGGAGATGGCCGCTTTGAGCGGATTCTAGCCTGAGTGTCCGAATGTTGAGAATGGCCCTGTTGTCTTGCAGCGTCTTGAGGCCGAGCAGTGCTGGGCAAGCGCTGCCCTGAACAACAGGACTAGAGAACGTGCCGGGGACTTCTGACCCATCACTGCGGGACATTTGCAAAGGAAGCACACAATTGTCCAGGCACACCTGTGATCCCTTTCCAACACCTCCTACTTGCAATGGAAGGGGCCGGCGTTGCATGGTGGGCGTCTGATTCACTGGGGCGGCTGCTTCCTGCAACCAACGTTCTCCCGCCAGGTTCCCGAATGAGCCGGGGTCCACCAACAACCCAGGCCTACCATCAGACAAGCGAACATTGCTGTGATAGGCGGATTCGCTCGCAGGCCTCTCTCCTGCAGCTGAATCACTAGTGTTGTGACTCTCCACAGGCCGCCATGGAAAGGCATGCTCAGGAGGAGTCCGGAACTCTTCGGAGTCTGCGGCTGCTGATGGTCCAGAGTTGTTGGGAGTAGTCGGCTCATCCACAGGTGATGGTGCAGGAACTGACGGCAAGTCAGGGTAGAACCAGCTGGATCTGGCCTGAGTAGTTCGGCGACAGTTCGGGCATTCGAGCATAAGGCCGGCGTCAGACATGACATTGGAGTGCATGGCTGCCTCACCAACACATATGGCGTG